TAGAATATAAGAAACATACTTACAAACTGAAATCCTTCTATTAATAATGGTAACAGATCAGCATTTATTACACTTTGAATTCGGTCTGTATTGTCAATCATTTTAAAAATTGCCCATAAAGCTTCCTTTACAATATCTTTCTCATCGACACACAAATAATATCGTAACACGTCACCAAGACGCGACAATCCTCCAGCAGAAATTATAACATTCTTATGTGTATCATCACCAATTGTCACTATATTTCCTATTGTACGCAATGCTGGAATAACGATAATTTCTTTCCTCAACGTCAGACATTCTAAAAGTTTCGGTAGAATGTCTATAGTTTCCATTATTGCTTGTACATTATTAAATCCATTAGTAAGGTAAGAGAGTGTCCGGCAGATGTCGGCTACAACAAACAGGGATATTATATTTAAAAATTAAAATAAATTATATAATGTATAAATAAATTATATAACGATAAAATGCGAATATCTTACAAATTATATATTGATTTTTAATATTAAATAGGCAATGAAATACTGGTAGAACAGGTCTAATCAATTCAACATTTAGAGGTATATTCCCTTGACATAAATTAGATAAAAGCCATGAAATGTTGTCCATGAATATTACCTGCATATTTTATCAAAATCAAAAATATTGAAATATTATCTACTTATTAGAAGAAACGCAGTTTTAAAATTCTACTTGATGTAAAAACTAAACTTGTCTTGCTAACATTTATGTTAACAAAAACTTACAAACATCGTTATCATCGTATCTTTCAAAACACTTTGATAAAAATATGTTGTAATTTCCTACGAAATTTCCTAGGAAAAATACATTATTATTACCGATTTATATACGTTTTTCTTTTTTAGAAGAGATAGTGAATCATAAGCGCGTTTTCAATTATCCAACACAAATATTATTAATTCAGATGCTAACTGCTAACAAATAAAGAACAAAACTAAATTCAAGAACAATAATAAATTAAAAACTCAAGAAATATTTCATTCCAATATAAATGTATATTCCATGTATATAACTGATCTAATAAATAAAAAAGTAGTAAAAATTCACATTAGGAGAGAATCCCCCAATGACCTTGACTCTGACATGTTGTCATGATCCTGAGTGACCTCCAACAGGTTTTAGACATCGCTCATCTTTCGTTAAAAAATTGTTAATAAAAAAAGTTTAAAAAATAACGTCTTATTTCTATTATGTGTAATATTAAAAACTATTCTATATC